TCTGTTCGCACACTCCAAGCATGTCTATGTTCACAGGCATTGTACACGGAATATACCACACCACCGTCGGATTATTTTATATCAATTTGAAAAGGAAGAGTTATACTACACAAAAGACTGGACAAATCGGGAAGGTTAGTTGGCAATCTCTATTCCGAACGAGTGATAAGTGATAAGTACCGCGATAATACGGCAACCCATCCTACATGTATGTGGATAGTACCCGAAACTTTCGAAAAATCCCATGGACTAAACTTAAGCAAAGGCAAAACTCACAGCAAACGGAAATCAGAGGCTATATTTCCTGCATAAGCTACGTTCTTTTTGGGTCGATAGGGTCATTATGAGTCTGTTTTACACCTCGGTCATACAAAGTGTCATCATTCACGACTGTGTAGTTTGGTATAATGGAGCAATGAAAAAGGACAAAGACAAACTGAAAAGGGTTGTGAAACAAGCATAAAAGATTCTGGGAATGGGAATAAATTTGGATGAAGTCTGCAGGGAGAGGGTACTAACTAAGGCTCTAAGTGTGGTGGAAAATGGTGCGCATCCCCTCAACACATATTTCAAAATGCTTAGTATTGGTAGGAGATTTCAGTCAGTAAGGGCAAGAACAAACCGGTATCTCCATTTCATTTGTACCATTTTCCATACGTCTCCTCAATGATCAGCACTGATGCAACAAACATCTTTAACTACACGTATCTCATTATTCCCATCTCCAACGCAGTCAGGTTTTCATTTTCGTACTGTTTTTCCGGATCTGTCATTTTACTGATATGCTTAAAAATTTATTTTCATAGTAATCGTAAGTATTATTTTAGTAATTTGCTTATTTAAATTTTCTGGATTATATTAATGAATTATCTATTTATGTATTGCATGTGACAAAACAAATTTCCTGGAAGGACCAATAAATTGAAATTGAAATTGAAATTAAAATTGAAAAGTGTAAAATTGTGTGAGCATTGGTGAAATAAGTAGTTGGAAATTTTGCTTGTCAGACAAAATATTTTGGTTTTCCCGAGACGTTGGGCAGCTGATTTGGCGAGCACTGTTAGGCCTGGCATAGGCCAGATTTATTTCAATAATTGTCATCCATAGTTTAGTAATCCTGTCCATAATTATTAATAAACTGGGTGTTATGAATGAATAGGAGTATTTTTGTCATGCCCATAAATGGTGCCCACTGGACTAGGCCTACATGTATGTTTGTATCTTGGGCCCCTCTGTCACCTGTGGACAAATGTTTGGACAATGCTCCTTTTTGGGGGGGTGCTTTTGCTTTATTTTTGTTTACATTCATTTCATATTTTTTTTAATAACTGGCACACTGTTTTACAAGTTGATTTCTAGTTTGAAAGCAGTTTACACAATACACATGCACAGGCTTACTAGCAAGGGAAAATTAATCCTGGCATTCCTAGATATCTACTTCCCATATGAAGTTTTGACTTCGTCTGGAAATTACATGGAAAGTAGATGTCTAGAATTGCACTGGTTTTCTACAGCACTCACTTGAGAAAGGAAATAAAAAATCAAATCATTTTTACTCTAAATTAAAAAAAATATTTGTAACTATGGAAATTAATCCTGGCATTCCTAGATATCTATTTTCCATTTAATTTTCATGAACTCTTAATGGAATCCACTTTCTTGATGGAAAGTCAAAAGGAGTCACCCATATCCATCACTGCACATGGGATAATTATAACCCTCTTGTAAGTTTAATTCACATTTAAATGTTGTCACTGTATGTCAGATGATGATTTTGAGGATGATTTGGTGTTCAGAGACGAGGATTGAAATTTCCCTCAGTGTAGAACCATTCATTTGGTCGAAAAATAATACTAATGCAAGGCTTGTGTTGACAGTTGATTTATGTTTTCACAGATATTACTTAAGATATCTGAAAGTAAATTTTCCTGTATTGAACGATTCCACATGCATACTTATCTGCACACATAAATTGGCTGTAAATCCACATTTGTTAGCTTCCACAATTGTAAAGAGAAGGCCAGCTGCATGGCTGGAGGATTTCCCTTCTGAAGCAGTAGGCCTACAATTACATTAAACACTAATTATTTGCCTATTAGCTTTATTCACTGTTACTTCAAAATTGAGAATAGTCTTTTATTCTCTGGGAAAAGCGAATTCGACAAGCTTGTGTGATAATGTCATTATTTCAGATTTGTAACAATGCTTCACAACTCCTACCCATCCAGAGTGGAGATAATTTACATGTAGGCCTTCACTTATGCTTCAATAGTTTAAGTTTGGATATTCATAAATATTTGAAAATGAAAGGAATAGGCCTTAATTGTAATATTTATTATTAAAATTATTTGAAATAATTATTGAAATTATTAGTATTTCATGTAAAAAGATAAAAAGCAAAAATAAATGTGTGACATAATTCAATTGACTTTTGTGCACTATTTATAATACTTTAAGTGCTTGTCAAAGCTACTATGTGGGTGCAGAGGATAGGTTCCCAATTCAAGCATACATGTACAATATGTGCCTAATCGATATCACAAAATAAAATAAAAAACAAACGACTTCAAGAAAATCCTGTAACACTACATACATGTAGTCCCCAGCACCCTAAATTGGTGTGGGGGGGGGGGGGGGGGGCAAGGGCGGATCCAGGGGGGGGCCAAAGGGGGCCATGGCCCCCCCCAAAACGAAATCAATTTTTTTAATTTTTTTATGTGACATCGCAATAAAGGCAGGCAATGAGTACACCACCATCTTTTCCTCAAAAAAAACATTGGTTAAAGTGGTCAGAAATTGCCTCAGATCGCACCACAGAGCAACTAGAATCCAAAAAAAATTTCGGGGCCCTTAAGCGGGCCCCGAACCCCACGCCGTAAATTTTTTGACCCACTTTTTGACATCGCAATAAAGGCAGGCAATGAGTACACCACCATCTTTTCCTCAAAAAAAACATTGGTTAAAGTGGTCAGAAATCGCCTCAGATCACACCACAGAGCATCTACAAACCAAAATTTTTTTGACCCACCTTTTGGGGGGAACCAAAATTTTTTTTGGCCCCCCCCAAAATTATGTTCTGGACCCGCCCTTGGGGGGGGGGAAGAGAGATATTTTTGCAAACAAGGTGGTTCTCGAACCACACATCTCGCCTGCTTTCGTGATTAATTTTAACATAGGGTGACCTGAACCTTCCTCATCCTTGCAAATCCCAACACCATATGTGCATATCAACAGTTGGCCTCTGTTTACATGTATTTGTGGTATGCCTAATCCCACGTAAAGCACAGTCAGTATACTAGTGCAGTACTCATCCTAACAGATCCCAACAAACCCTGGTGTTGGAGTTTGGCTGGTTGGGGATCGTTAGGGTTACAGAGTGACCCTTCACTGTGGTGTGTGGTACAGTATGTGACCTTTGACAGCATCAGCATTATTTGTGACCCAAATTTGGTTCCAATTGGACCTCAACTTTTCAAATGAGACCAATTTTACATGTTCATCCTATTCTACAGCTTGACCTCAGATGACTTTTGACCTTGGTATGTGACCTTAGACCTCATGATCCTAATGAAGGTTCTATGTTGTATTTATGATTCAAGTTTGGTTGGAATTGGACTTCAACTTTTCAAACAAGACCAATTTTACATTTACATTTTACATCTGACAACTTGACCTCAGATAACCTTTGACCTTGGTATATGACCTTAGACATTTTGATCATATGTGACCCATCACAACGAGAACGCTTTATCTTTTATTTTTTAACAGAGGGCGCTATGTTCTTTTGGCTATCGATTAGAAAACAAGTAAGCTGCAGGGCACTTCCTACATTTTACCCAGAAGACTTTGTGAATCACACAAACATTTCTCGAGCATGGAGAAGGACAGGGATGTATTTCGAACTGCCATTAACTTGCCTTAAAATTGGACTTAAGCAGGCAACATGCTTGCAACTATAGCGTTTGCCGTCGACTGAGGGCGCTTTAATTCTCTTGACCAACTGCAGCGCGGCTTTCATTTTGAGAGTGTTTCTGTGCCTCGCGTGATGAAATGAAAGCCGCGCTGTAGTTGGTCAAGAGAATTAAATCGCCCTCAGTCGACGGCAAACGCTATACATGTAGTTGCAAGCATGTTGCCTGCTTAAGTCCAATTTTAAGGCAAGTTAATGGCAGTTCGAAATACATCCCTGTCCTTCTCCATGATGAGAGATGGCCAAGTGCGAGACTCCAATGATCCTGGTGAACGAAATTCTGGTAAATTTCACTTTTTTGTTTGACATTTGAGGAATTTCATTCCACCCTAGAGGTACAAATCCAGATCAAGATAATACTTGTGAAAATATTGAGGCCAAACATTTCGCAACAGGACAGTTTAGAGGTCAGAAAAAATTGAGAATTTTTGGCTACCGCAACTTCTATTGGTCTTTCTGTAAGGTTTGTAAAAAAAACTTACAGTTCTGGAAGTAGGTCAAAGGCTTCATTTTATTTCATTCACGCGAGTGAAATCGGTTGTTAATGTTTGGTATGGCCGGCCGCGCCACGCGCCCGACAACACAAGGCCATGAACTGTACAATGCATTCATAACCAAGCACGCCCGCATAATGCACTACAACCCATCCGACTTTTTGAAATCCCATGTAGACACATTTTCAGGACGATATTCGTGGGAGCTGATGACTGATCCTCGTTTTTTGGCCAGATGGATGAAGATTTCTCGATTATAAAGGAACGTATTTTTGAACAGGTATGAGTTCCTCTACGACTAGGTACCGTAACTTTGGAAATTTCAGTCCTGGATGAGAAGATAGTCTTGATCAAAATCGGTAGCAAAATCGCTACATCACCACATCACCTTTCAGTGTTTAGGGGAACAAGTGTGCGGCCAGAGGCAGTCGGGCTACGGGAATTCAACATAGCCTAGGCTTTGTCGAGTTCCCGATGAGCATATGAGCTGGACTTACTAAACTAGTAAAAAAAAAAAGGATGATTAGACCACTTACCAGCAATCAGCATGTCCGTATTATGGGTCATGTACGTCATTAAAATCAGAAGAGAAGCCTCCACCTTACAGTAGGCCTGACAGTCCAGTGACAGTACTCAGTAGTGCATGACATGTATGTTGCAGGTCATCATGTTCATGGCGATTGTGTAGTTAAGGACCTGTTCCTATAAGAGAACGAAAACCTTTTAGTTACTGAACTCACCTAAATTGCTGGCGACGTCATGTGGAAGGATTCATTTGGTGGTGAGAGTGTAGGGTTTTGATTTTGCAGCGAAATTACAACACAGGCGATATAAGCACAAACGTGACAATGTCATTGCAAAATAGAACTGTTTTGTGTAGTGATATGTGCCCCGCGCCGTATGACAGTCTTGTGGCGCTGGGCACATGTATCAATACACGAAACAGTCACTGATTAAGCGTGACCTGTTTTTCTTCGATAGTGACGTCACACATGCGCTCCATCGATCAGCAATGAAATGGATGGCACCAATCGACAGACATATTTCAATGTGAGCGGTTAGTTTATCAGAATGCTTTGTTCTTTTTTCAAAATTACCGGTTGTTTGGAACAATTTAAGGGGTGTGATCATGCTTGGAATGTCATGAATGTGTGAATCTATCCAGGGTAACTGTCTTTCTCATATGTATTCTCTTAAGGCCTACCAGATTTTTGGGGCATTTTGTCCTCGAGGGTATGCAAAAAAATGCATAGGCCTACCATGTGTCAGTGATATGATGGCGTCATCAAATTATGCCTATTCGGTGGAGTGCTAGTACGGAGGGTAACGAAGAAAGATTTCGATCACAAAGTTTCCCATCACTTGTCACCCTGTCATGCCTGTGCACAAACCCTATGGGACTGGTCTGAACATTTGTGTTTTCTCAGTAAATACTTCAATAGTTTCCCTGCTAAATTTGACTTTTTAGGACAAACCGAAGAAAGATTCCCATCAGAAAGATTCCCATCACTTGTCACCCTGTCATGCCTGTGCACAAACCCTATGAGACTGGTTTGAAAATTTGTGTTTTCTCAGTAAATACTTCAATATTTTCCCTGCTAAATTTGACTTTTTAGGAAATAGGGCCTGATGGCTGATACTACTTGCTGAAAGGAAAAATTAGTGATGGCCAGATATTAGCCTCATAAATGTGGCCAATTTACTGGACTACCTCCATAAATAAACGCCACACTTCCACCATGTACAAAAACATGTCAAACTTTTGTCAAATTTTGATTTTCACATTTAAGCTTTGTCAGGGTTCTAGCCAGGGTGAAATTATAGCATAGTGGTAATTTTGGTTCGACGACTAATGCAAGCGCGGAGCGCGAAGCCCTCACGGCGTGGGGTCTGGGGCCTGCATAAGGGCCCCGAAAAATTTTGAACTCTAGATGCTCTGTTGTGCAATCTGAGGCGATCCCCTGCCACTTTCCCCTGATTTTTTTTTTTTTCAGCAGAAGTGTTTAAAATTACAAGAAATTTTGTTTTATTTGTTTCAATGATACTCTTGCTCTTGTAAAGTTTCTTCTGTTTTCAAATTTTAGAACATGTTTACAATGTATAAATTGTTCCCAGATCGATGCTCTCTGATGTTTAATCATTTTTAGTAGTTCCTCAAAGTTTTATAAAAAGTTGAGATTTACTTTGTCAATAAGTGCGAGAACAAATCACATGAACATTTCATATTCATGTAACTATTCATTGAATTCAATTTTGAAGTCAGAGTAATTTAATCAATCTAAAACTAAAACAGGGAGTAATTAGGCATGCATGTACAAGGTTTTACATGGAGCAATAAGAACCATCTCATTCTCATGAGACAGTGACAGCCAAGTTTCAATTTCAAGAAGCTTTAAGTTGTAGAGTTGCCGTAGCAGTAGTTCCGATTTTAAATTCATCAATAAAACCATCGGCAGGAAGAGAAATTGTAAAACCATGGAGGTCTCAGACAGAAAAAGTCGTCAGCGATTGCAATTTCAACATGCTACAACACAATGTGGAGTAATATCATTTTTGTTATGTTAAAAAATATAATTGTAGATAATGACAATGAGAAATAATCACCGGGAATTGCTTCCTATCCCGGCCCCAACCGACCCGGCGTGCGGGCCAGCCCACGCCGGCGAACTACGCGACCAAATTTTCCCTCAGCATTTGAGAAAGCAACGCATTGTGGAGCACTAAAAAAACTTGCTTTGTTGCAATACTTGCTGATTGGTTTTGTCTTAAGAACAAACAGATCCCTTTTTACCAAACTTATCCAACTGTTATCAGCAACGAAAAAATCCAACTTTTCGACAGCGACATTCTTCGAAAAAAATTCCTCATGTGCAGCCATCTTTATGGACAGATCCATTGATATCGTAGGGGTGCTTTAACCTTTCTTTGGAGTTTTACATCGTTTCTCGAATAAATCCTTTACGAAAATTATGTTTCGGCATTGAAGAACTTATTTTCAAACAGTAAAATGTTTCGGACTTAATAAAAAATATTATTTGTAATTTTGAAACAGTTGAAATGCTTCTAAATATTGACCTTAGGAAAGCACACCCAATACCGAAAAATGGTGTGGTCCACAGAACGCTCTGTACGTCACATGTTGATGAAACGTACGTCCTTACGTAGCGTTGTATCTACGCAGCACAAAACAGCACGTGCTTATTGCTTTCATAGCGAATGCGTGTACGTATTATGTTCATATGAATGGCGCAGCATCACGGTAGGGTATCGTCCGGGGTACATGCGATTAGATCATTGTTTATTTTTCGCTGTGTCATACGGCCAGTGCGCAATGTTCAAAGTCGCTGCGCTTGTATATTTGAACAAACGGAATTGGAAGCAGATTTTTTTTAAGAGGGTGAGTATGCTTCTAGAGCAAAAATAAACTACAAACAAGGCCAAGGCCAAAAAAAAAAAATATTCGGTCTCTGGTCAGACCAAAGTTCCGGAATTGACGCGGCAACGCGGCTTTTTTTTTTCTCTCTTTTTTTTTCTTTTTTTTTCAAGCTTGGATTGTACAGACAAGGTGGGGTACTATTTTGCTTTTTTGGTGTCCTCATGTACATTGGTGTCCTCCATAATTTGCCTTGGTGCTCTCGATCATTTGCCTTGGTGCAATTTCCCATTCCTTGGTGCTCTTTGGTAAAAAGAAATGAGGTGCAGCAATAGAGGGCGCTGTTGGAGCTAAGAAAGATTGACACGCATGATTAAAATCAACGCGCGCGCCGACCAGAGACCGACTAATTATTTTTTTTGGCCTAAGCCCAAATGTGAAAATCAAAATTTGACAAAGTTCGACAAGTTTTCGTACATGGTGGAAGTGTGGCCTTTATTTACGGAGGTAGTCCAGTAAATTGGCCACATTTATGGGGCTAGCCAGCAGCCAGATATGGGAATCTTTCCATTTAAGAACTTAACAGAAAAGGGTGTCCTAAACTAGGCGATCATGAAGTCTAGGGCCCCTGTTTTGTTTTGATCAAATTAGAGTCAAAAATGTTTTTTATTGCTCAAAAATCACCATTACAATCAAAAGCAGACTTGTCTCAATTTTAATGCAATTTTGAACAGATTCTTGGGGTAGAAATCACAATTTTCCCGAGCGGTTTGTGCCTTGCGATTCAGCGCGCCGTGCGTACTCCTTCCTTCCTTCCTTCCTTCCATAGAGTGCGGTCCTCAAAAGACGAGTATAGTCGAACCGAATCGGTACATCATTTCCAGCCCAGCTAAGTACCGTCTATCAGCTAGGGAACGCCAATGAATATCTTTGATCATGTCAGTAGCACTGCTTGACCAGTCATAGTCGCCTGTCACAAATCTTGCTGAGCTACGCTGAACTTGTTCCAGTTTTTTAATGTTACGTTGAGTGTGGGGGTTCCATGATGTTGATGCATATTCTACTATTGGTCTGACAAACATGGTGTAGCTACTTTCCTTGATCTTTCAGCTGCAATGACTGAGGTTGCGGCTCAAGAAGGCACGGGTAGAATTTGCCTTCTTGGTGACTGTATCTACGTGTATGTTGAAGTTTAGCTTCCAGTCTATATGCACTCCTAGGTATTTGGCCGAGTCTACGAGTTCCAATTCGTGCCCGTGGATGGTGTAGGTCATTGTGATTGGAATTTGGAGTGCATTTGTTGGTGATACGTAGGACTTGGCACTTAGTAGCCCCATAAATGTGGCCTATTTACTGGACTGCCTCCGTAAACATAGGCCACACATCCACATGTACAAAAATCGTGTCGACTTTGCCAAATTTTGATTTTCACATTTAGGCTTAGTTTGTAGGTTTTTTTTGCTTTAGAAGCATACTCACCCTCTTTATAGGCTAATCAGAAAGTGCTGCCTTTTTCAGATGTATATTTTTCGTGAAATTTCCAGATTCATTTTTACACGTTTGTGTATCAAAATTTCAACATGAAATTTCACAAAAATTAGACATCTGAAAAAGGCAGCACTTTCTGACTAGCCTATAAAGAGGGTGAGTATGCTTCTAAAGCAAAAAAATCCTACAAACTAAGCCTAAATGTGAAAATCAAAATTTGGCAAAGTCGACACGATTTTTGTACATGTGGATGTGTGGCCTATGTTTACGGAGGCAGTCCAGTAAATAGGCCACATTTATGGGGCTAGGCACTTAGTTGCGTTGAATTCCATGAGCCACTCAGTCTCCCACTCTTGAAGTGCATTCAGATCTTCTTGAAGGTAGGCACTGTCTACAGTACAGGTGATGAAATTCTTCAGTAGAGTACACTGTCATCTGCGAAGAGTCTGGTTGTTGCTCACGAGTCACGGTACATCGCGCGGTGATCACCATCTTTATTTACGGGTCGCGTGTTGTCGCCGCGTTGTCATCGACATTTTTTTTAGAAGTTTTACCCCCGAATTTCCCCCAAAAAAATCAAAACCCAGCCCTCTAGGACATAGGCCTACCTGTTTATTGTGAATGTCACCAACTAGGGCCTAGTTTGGTAGTCCGAGTAACTTGGACCCAACTTATCGCCTTTTTAACATTTGGACATGGTCTGGCGATAGACCATGTCCAAATGTTAAAAAGGCGATAAGTTGGGTCCAAGTTACTCGGACTACTAGTTTGGTAGGTCCGTTAATTTTAAAGTGGATTTTGTTCCCTTAAAGGCTTAAAGTTATACTAGTACAAAAAATACTAGGAACCGGGCCCTACACTTCACGATCGCCCTAAAGTTAAACTACACAATTTTGTAGGCCTACATGTAGCTGGAGTTACCCAGCCCTGAGTTTTATCATTGGGTTGTGACAACCCAATGATAAAACTCAGGGCTGGGTAACTCCAGCTAGCCTACATGTAGGCTAGGCTAGGGCCATGGTCATGGCACAACTTACTTCATGCACTTCAGACATCTGCTGATAATATTAAAAAACACAGCATGTATCGATATGGTCATTGTACTTGTAGCATACGTCAATTTGCATGACCTTACATGTCGATGGTGGCCATAGTCGACTGGTGGTAGTACAGTACACGTCAAAATCGCCTATTTTAATTTGACACACGAAATAGGCGGCCTACATGTACGTAGCTGCTGTACGCGGTGTATGCGACGTTTTTCGCAGACTGCTGAATAGACTAGGCTTAGTTCCAGTCGTTAGTAGGTCAATGTTACACTGGCCCTACGCGCACGCGCAAGTATAGTACGCGCACCTGCCCGTAGAGGGGGCTTTGTAATTAAAGGGCTTTAATTAAATAAATCGTGTTTGTGTACCCCCCCCCCGCTCTAAATAAATCGTGTTTGCCCCCCCCCCCCCCCCCGCCCTGCAAACAGGACGCTGGGATACTCTGATGAATTTACGCTCTGATTGGTTGGATTTTGCGTGACCTGTGACCTGCGCGTCATCACGGTCATGACTCTGCAAGGTCTAAACGGCCGTTAAGACTGGTTCATTACTCTTTTATTCCAGTTTAGGCCCCCCCCCCAAAAAAAAGTCTCCGGTTTCTGGTATGGAGCTTGCCCAAAAAGTTGTGCGGCGACGCGGCTTTTTTTTTTTTACCTGATTTTTTTGCTTCAAATGTCGGCTGATGACTGCAAATGGTGCCCGACTAAACTTAGTGCAAATATATGGGAGTCCAGAGAGGCCACATAAAGCTTATTTCGATCATAACCCAATCTAAAAACACGTTAAAATTGTGCAGCACCAGGATTCCAGTCAAGGCAAGAAAGGGGTACGTACATTTAATACAAATCTTTGCTAATAACACAACGTCCAAACGTTGTGTTTGAAAAGGAGCCCTAATTATAATGTGCCGTATTTTGGCACATTTAAATTACACAATTCCAGGGGTACGATCGCGCAAGGCATGATGGGAAACAACATGGCGCTGCAAGATCGTACCCACGGGGCACGAGGTTGCAAATGATCCATTAGAAGGGTGAGAGAGCAGGTAGTGATGGGCGCGTACTGCTCGACACCCTGGGGACGAGGTTGATATAAAGCTGATCGAAGCGAAATCGGGACTGTGAACAATTATATTTTGCAACGGGCAGACAAAACCACGGCTACTCATAGGGAAACAAGATGGGAAAACCGTAGAATTGATTCTTTAAAAATCTAATTAACTCTTCAAGTTTATTTATACATTGTGCTCTATATCTACCCATGCTGTTTCACTATTGTGAGATTCTTGCGCCTTCTTGCAGATTTTGAGATGCTGGATACGCAGGAGAGCACATCGGGTGAAGGGGTCAAAGGGCATATGAGCGTTCTGACGCGTTCTGAATCCAATGTTCCCCCACACGTAATATAAATCGTACGAATTTGAAACTTGTCACACGTATGAATCATAAGTTTTGGAACAACTGGTAGTAATTTCTGACAAAAATGTTTACATTTCATTAAAATAGAGGCAGTTTGCTGCATATGCCCTTTTGCTGGGAACATTTTGGTCATTACGCGCTATTGCATAAGGGCATATCCACATATGCCCTTCTGCCTGGCACACATACAAAATGTATTTGTTCTATTTTTTTTGTATCATGTCCTTAGGAGGGACAATGGAAAACAAAATCAATGTTCCAGGTATTGTCCCTTAAAAAACTGCCGTGAAGTTAAAGACAAGGCAACGACTACCCCCCTAAAAAAAAGACATTAAAAATAATCATTGTATACGGAGATCAATGGTTTTATTATATGTCCACGATTCACACAGTAAACTTTGCATATTGACCAATTCGCCCCCAGTCAGCGCGCGTTGTATCAACAGTTGACGCGCATTTTGGTCACGTACACATATTATGATGTTGTAAAAAAAAAGACACATTTTCGTAGTGATTATTATTTCCAAAAACACCGAAAAAGTGAACTGCGGCATTAAAAAAAAGTAAACCACGACGCTAGAAAAATAGTCAACCTTGGTCAGTGGTGGTGGTCAAAATATAAGTTAAGTGAACACCGATGTACAAAATTAATCATGCTGTCTATAAAGACGGCAAGTTGTCCTTTGTAGATCACCAGCCGGTCTCACCAATATGGCGTCAAATTCATTCATTCGTTCCTTACACTAACCCCTGGCTGTGATGATGACGTAATGACACTGAATGGCTATTCACAGCGTACTACTGCGCGGGCATCATGATTGCACGCCGGGCGCGCCCATAATGCGCTCGCGTGCTTAGCTTTGCACGTAACGTCACGTACGAAAAAAATTAATATGATTCAAAAGTCGCGAAGCCTGTACGATATGGATTATGTCAGCCGCGTTTTTCGCAAAAAAAACCCTGTATCTGTGATTGTAAAGGCACGAAAGGGGTACGTACATTTAATACAAATCTTTGCTAATTAACACAACGTCCAAACGTTGTGTTTGAAAGGACTGATTCTTCAAAATCACAACTTTTAACATTTTAAAGATGGCGCCGGCACGTAAAACTACGGAGCCCCTAAAGGGACATCCAAAATTATTTATCTCGTGCGCACGACATATATCTCGTGCGAACGAGATAATTATCTCGTGCGCACGAGATAATTATAAGTATTAACGGTGCTTGCTGCACGTGCAGCGGACGAGTTTGTGTGTAACGAAAGCAGCGTGTCAGGCACTTTACGCTATACATTTCAAGTCATATCAGTTAAAAGGACGGGGATGTTTTTTTAATTTTAGGGGGCCGCCACCGGTGATTAATTTTGTCAAGTTTTGCCTTTTTCTGAGAGAGAAGTGTTTTATGCAAAAAAAGAGCCGGTACGTGCTGGCAAAAATCAGGGAATTGGTGGACAATAACAAGAAAATTGCCGACGTGAATTAAAATTGATTTAAAGGCGAAGGAAATGAGGATTTGTTATCAGCATCAGCAGTTTGAATGGATGCGAGTCAGACGGTCTTACTCTCCCTCCCATTTTAAACGAAGTCTCATTATAAAGAATGATTGGGAAGAAGCGAAGGATGGTCGACCTTTAAGGTTTCTAAGGGTGGGAATAAAGTTAAAGCCCCTGCCCAGAGCAATCAGTTCAATGATTGACAGCTTTTTTAGCCTTCAGCAGTGATTTTCTTTGCCTCATTTTTACGCTTTTTTACAAATTACGGGAATCATTTTAAGGGTGCAACCTTATATTAAAATTACCATAGACACCAGTGCTAAATGCCCATACTTCAAAATTCTTTTAAAAATACTCAGTATTTTTTCTTAATTGCATCTGAAGTATTTGGTGCTACGAAAGCTTATGCACAAATTTTTTCTTTAGTTAGTCATTAAAGTGCTACATTTGTTTTTGTTTACTTCTGCTAGTATGATTGAAATGTTAAATTATAACAGAAGAAATTCTAAACTTCATGTCGTTATTGATGCCGAAACGTCAATACTGGTCACTGGTAAAGCTGACCTAAAAGTCGTGGAAAAATCGTTCGAAAAGGTCTCCAAATCTTTTTACCAATTCTGAGCATTTTGGATGCAATTGGGCTCGAAAGTGGCGCTATTTTGCCATGTTGTGGAGGGATCGTTTTTCAAGATGGCTACTTTTCCGCTTTGGGGAAAATATTCGGGGACGTCTTCTTTGCGTGAGAATATCTCAAAAAGTCAATGTCAACCCACCAAAAAATGAACAGAAAATGAAAGAAGACATGTTCATCATCATTTTTCTGTGCAGCTTATATACATGTGAGAGTTCTGAGTATTTTTAAAAGAATTTTGAAGTATGGGCATTTAGCACTGGTGTCTATGGTAATTTTATACAAGGTTGCACCCTTAAAATGATTTCTAGCCCATTTTGACCCCACATCAGTGTTGGAGTCAAGACCTCAAAGTCCGAGACCGAGACCGAGACCTCATAGTCCGAGACCGAGACCAAGACCGAGACTTCCCCATTCAAGACCGAGACCGAGACCTCATTTAAAAAAAAAACTGCTGCTATGTGTACCAGGTGTAATAAAACTGGTGATGGTATGCTGCTGACTGTCTGCCTGAGTCTTGTTTTGTATGTATTCATTGTATCTGCAAATGAGTAAATTAGGAAAGTTATAGTTATTTGCAGTAAGGAAAATCATATTAACATGAAACATATTAAATAAATTGAAATAATTTTTGGGAGAAAAAATAAATCAAAATAAAAAAATTACTTGTTTTCAAAAAATGTCCCCATTATCCATTTAAATTAACCAGTCAATATGAAAACAATTTAAAGGGAATATACAACATTTGCAAACATCAACAAATAAAACTACCAAGTTTTTACGAAAAACCTTACTAGGATGTTGGTTAATGACAGTCTAAAGCATCCTGTAAAATTATGGCACCTGGTGTGAAGTCATTTTCAAGAAAATGGTATTTTTGTATAAATTTCCAACCGTGGTCGGCCGACCACCGTTGGAAAAACCCAACTATTTTTCAACTACTGCTCCAAATTTACCATTTGTTTCAGTTAAAATTTTGTTTGCTATTGGTCACATGTTCATGAACGGGTGCAGGCCAGCTAGACTGGTTCCCTTACCTTACAATTTTCCGGCATCTATAAATTGATCCATTTCATCTTTGGTGGAGTCAGGGAACCAGACTACTTGAACATTTTTGTTTTTCTTGGCTTTTCCAGCATTTCCGAACACAAAACTTCAAACATGTCAGTGTAACAATATTTGATCTATTTTACTATCCCCTCAAATAGTTCATTTTTGAAAATTACAGCAAAAGCCAATGATGTACATTCCCTTTAAGCAAACTTGGGTGGACAACTGGTGGACATAAACTATTTTTGAGAAAAAAAAAACATAAAAAGTAAATAAATGACGGGTTAGGGCGCACGCAATCCAAGATGGTGGCGCCCATGTTCCGTGAAAACTTTGAGGACAAAAAAAAAACCGTACTATCACTCAGCTTCAATCCTACTCAAGCCAAAGCTTGCTGATAATTTGATTACTTTTTATTATGAAAATAACTATTATTAGTTGCAGCAATTACAAAAAAATGTATACTCTTTTCATCAACTTCAACATATCTGAACTGGTAAATTGTCAAACAACACGTAAGAAAAAAGTTCAACATGGCGAGCTTGGCCCTCAGCCCACCAACACATGGTGCAACATACCTCATCCTGGCCCTACATCTGTAAGGTTTTCCCTTGTTTAACGTTAATTCAAATTGACGGAGATGTTGGTTCAATTATTTTGGGGCTAATATTATTGGG